GAGGCCCCGGGTTCGAGTCCTCGGCGCCGCGGCTCCGGTGGTGGAGCCCAGCCTTGAGCCGCGGGACGGCGCCAGGCCCCGAGCTCCAGGCCCACGCCCGACAGGAGAACTCAGGGAGCCCCGCGGCGGCCCGAGATCTGGGGGTCCGGTTCAAGGCCAGCCCGGGCAGCCACGTCCCTGAGACTTGATGTTTTGTGTTTGTTTTGGCCAGTCGTGGGGCTTGAACTCAAGGCTCCACCACTGGAGCCGCACGCCACTTCCGGGAGACTGAGTGGTCACTGGGGATTAGAGTCTCACAGACCTTCCTGCCCAGGCTGGCTTTGAACCCCCAGGATGACAGGTGTGAGGTCCCAGCCCCCAGGCCCTGAGGTCAAGTTTCATGACCTCAGCCCAGGCTGCCTCCCGTCCGCAGGCCTGAGCCACAAGGTCTGGCCTCCAGCCCTGCTTCTTGTTTTATGTTCATCTGGTGGTCCTGGAGGTTTGAACTTACAGCCTGGCTGCTTGAGCCTCACCTTCAGCCTGAAGATGGTTCTAGACTTCCTAATGAAGAAGGGAAAAGAGGGGTCCCCTATCAGCCGGTGATCTGCCCTGAGGCCTGGGCAAGGAGGCACGGTGGGCCCCCAGGGCCACAGAGGCCTGTCCCGGGCAGACCACAGGCCTCAGGGCTGGAGCCATGGGGAGTCAGTACAGGGAGGGCTGTGGTCTGAATGGCCCTTCCCAAACCCCCAAGTCTGCTGAGGCTGAGGGGGCTGGGGGGGTAATAGGAAGGGGGAGCAGAGGCCCAGGGGACGGTGAGGCCCGATTTGAGAACCAGCCATGCCCCTGAGGGAAGAGCCCAGCACGGGACAGGACCCTCCTATGCTGTGCCCACAGCCCCTCGGTTTCCCCATCCAGGCACTGCAGATAGCCCAGAAGGCCTCTGCCCAGCAGGGGTCAGTTCTGAAGGCTGACCTGCGATCCCCTGCAGCCACACGCCCTCTGTGGCCCCCTGAACCCCGCCCAGGGTGCCGGGTAGAAGGTTCAACTCTACCCTGCTCCCCGTCCACCAGCTGGGCCCGGCCTGGCCAGCTCTCTGGGCGTGCAGAGAGCCAGACCAAGTGTCCACCCGGAAGCTAGGCAGACAGCAAGTGCAGGTCGGGTGAGGAGGCAGCCCGGGAGCAGGGGCTAAACTCCAGACAGAAAATCAACTAGGGGGGACCCCTCCAGTGTGCGGCTCTGCGGCCCCCCCCACTGGCCCGTCCCTCCCGGGTGCAGCCCTGGTCACCCCCCTGGCCCCACCAGCCCGGGCTGCAGCCTCCACTGCCCCCCACTAACAGGTGCCTTGCTCTGGCCTCGGGCCTGGCTTAGGAAGGGTCTGCTCGGCTGGCCTTGCTCCCAGGCTGCTCCAGGACGGCAGCTAGGAGGGTCCTTCTTCCCCCACCCAGATGGCACTGACCGCTGCCCCCTCACCCGTGGGCGACCACACAGGCTGAGAAAGTCTGTCCCGCCTCAGGGTGTTTTGGGACTTTTTTTGTCGCGTGTGGGGCTTGAACTCTGGGCCTGGGCGCTGTCCCTCAACTCTTCAGCTCAAGGCTAGCGCTCTACCACTGGAGCCACAGCGCCACTTCCGGCTTTTTTTTTTCTGCTTATGTGGTGCTGAGGAATCGAACCCAGGGCCTCAGTCAGGCATGCAAGGCAAGCGCTCTACCAGTGAGCCACCTTCCCAGCCCTGTGGCTACTTCTTGACATCAATCTTCCCCTGACTCTGCCTCACTGGGCCTCTGCTTGAAGGAATCTAGCTGATCCATTCATACTTTCAGTGACACCTTGGCTCAGCCCCAGAGCTCCAGAGGGAGGCTCTGCTCCTCCCCTCCGCAGCTCCACCTAGCCCAGGCACCTGCTACACTCCTGCGGGCGGGCACTCGGGGCGGGTCCTGTGTTTCCTCCCCTCCCTCTCTGTTCCATTCTTGCTCTGCCTTTGCCCCATTCCAGTCCAATGCACAGCACCGCACCGCTTATTCATACTATGGTGTAAATGACTGCAAAACACACCAGGTGAGAGTCTTCAGTCTTTCCCCGGTAGATGGCGGGACTCCGGGACCCGCACCCGTGCGGGCTCCGACATCACCAAAGCAGAACAGGCTGCTCCGGTCTGGGCCTCAGTTTCCTCCTCTGGGAAGCTGGATGGGGCAGGGCGCCTCCCGCGGCCCGCCCCGCCCGCGCCAGCCGCCTGGGAACGCAGCACCTGTGCGGGCGCCTCGGCGGAGGCCCCGCCTCCCGGCCACCTGTTCCACGCAGGGCCGGTCCCCCCCCTGCGGTAAACTGAGGCCGGAGGGCGAGGCCCGCGCGCTCACTCACCTCCAGGGCCGCAGGCCCGGGCCCGGGCTGGCGGGGCTGCATGGGGAGCCCGGGCTCAGCAGGGCCGGGCTCTGGCTGCT